AAAAGTTAATATAAAAGTTACGGTTCCGATCAATTCACCGACAGTCATTTCACCGAATGCTCATTTAGCCACATCAAATAAGGTTAGGGTTAAGCATTTGATAAGTTACAGATATATTTTTACTAAATTTCACCTGGCGTGATGTCGGCTAAATGAGCTGGCGGTGAAGTGATGGTGAAATAATACGGAACTGCAAGCATTTAAGATTTTTAAAAATTTAGTACTAATATCTGATCAACTTTATAATTGATTATTGCCAAAATTCTCAGTACCACTATAAATAATTTGAAGACACACATTATAGACATCTTTTAATAAGAAAATATATAGTTATATATCATTTATTATAATAATAAAAGACGTGTTATTACATACATGAAAATCGTACGTATTATGAAATTGGATAAATTAAACCTATGTTTCATAAATTACAATATTCTGTTATACATTTTATTAAGTAATTAATTATCTACCATGAATCGATAACACATAGTCATGCGTGACGTATTACAAAAATATTAATTAAATGGTTTATACAAAATCACCCAAGTCATCACCGATAACGTAAACCAATTGTTCTTCAAATTCATCTTTTGGTGAACCCGCTAGTACACCATCAATATTCTCATTATCAAGATTTTTTTCATTGATAAAGTCATCTTTATCAGTTGGTGGTTTATGTTCACTATTAGACTCGGAGTTTAAAGCTGACCAAATAAGATCTTGTGATATCGACGAAGTCGGAGACGTTGTAGGTGGAGATGTTGTAGGTGATATTGCAGTATTGATATTTGGGATTGCCGATGTTTCAGTTGTTGGAACTGATTTATAGGAACTCTTGCGAGCAGTTTTAATGCTGGGAAAAAAATATATTAATATTAGATTTAATTTAATTTCATTGACTCAAAAATAAATGCCTATGATAAGATAGATACGCTTCGTAATCAACTAGGGAAGAGATTCCTTTGCTTATATTGGACCATGCTTGAGAAGTAAGATCTGCGGTTTTTTGTCGAGTTTGTTGAATTCTATTTAATATAAATTATTGTTTAAAAGGATCTTCAGAGTAACGATGATATTTGATAAATATTAATACTAATAAAGCGATTAATACTTACGACCGAAGATTTGCAACCTCCGATACGGCTGTTTTAATCTGCGATAACTTTTCACGAGTTCTGAAATTTAATCAATATGACTCAATTTAACAAACTTAATATATATGTATCTATCAACAGAAATTATGGCTTACGTTTCGCTTTCCTTCAAATTATGTATACCACCAATAACACTATGAATCCCTTTCCCTAATCCATTCATGAACGCGGAAACTTCATTATTAGAAGTGTTCGACTGAAACGAAAATACTGAGGATGAAGTATTTTCAGAATCTATGTCCTTGGAGACAACTGTTTGCCATTGTTTTTTTAATAATAGTAATTCTTCTTCATGACGTTTCAATTCTTCGCGGAGTTCTGAGATTTTACGTTCTTTACGTGCTATGAACTGTGACAGCTCGTCACGTTGTTCTGAAGGTGTTGAAGGCGTTATTCGAAGGTTTTTGATCGTCCGTTCTTTCTAATCGTAAGGGTAAATTAAAAGATCGCGGGATAAAAAAAAATTAGAATGAGGAATTATGTAAATGTAATATTAGGCCTCTTGGCTTCTTGGCGCAACTATTGGTCCTTTTTTCAAAATACAAATAAAGACAGACCTTCGCTTCATCATTATTTTCAATAATTTTTTCATTTATTACATCTTTTTTATCAACTAACTCTATATTTTCACTTTCCAACATATTGAAATGGTCTACTGGCAAATCTTACGATATCTGATTTAGTTTAGTAGTTGTTTTAGGTCGGAAAACCTATAATCAGGTGTTCAATTACAAATATCATGCATGCAACTTAAAGTTGG